TGGTAGTGGTCGGATGGCTATGGCACACGATGCAAAACGAGAGTCAGGGGTTATTCATGCACGGGGAACCGAAGTGAGAGCTAGATGCGATATGGGAAGATGCGAGGTATAGATGGACTAGAAAACATTGAGAGCTGGTGACCCGAGACGGAAGGAGGGTGTACATGTACGGTGGCGCTCGCCTGGGCGCGGATGCTGCGGGCGGCGGTGAGTAGCAGTAATCAAACTATGCGAGGGAGCGTGAGGGAATGTCATAAGGGGCTGCATGCAATGTCAGGATATGGAGACGCGGTGCCTGGACACTATGTGAACCTACTGGGCGAGTTGCCAAAGAATCGACATGGTCCTGTGGCTGAGTCAGCCGTGACAGGGATTGGCGGAGGACGCGGCGGGGTGCGGTGATAACGGGAGGACGGTCATGGGACCCATGGGTAATGTACGGGAAAGGGTATGTGCGGTGGAACGCGCAATGGCCTGGTGAGAGGGTTAGGGACGCTCAAACAGCTTGCGCTATGAGGGCGGGCTTCGTCCGAGGCGCGACAGAGGTAATCGCGATGCTCAGGTGTCATATCGGGCTTCTCAGAGCAACTTTGAGGCGCGAAGGTGCTCTCGGATAACCATATCCTTGACTGCAGATATCCCTGAAGTTAGTGACGGCCACAACGGCAGTGACGGGGGACGTACCACTTGCAATGATGCCTCCAGTAGTGGTCGTATCCTAGATATTGATGAGTTCATACACCCGAACGCGATCGTGGCAAATACAGCTTACGGTTACGGAGGTGCAAAATCCGTAGAACTTGCGAGGTATCGGGGAGTGCTCTCGGTGGATAGCGCTGAACTTGCTCTTGAAATCTGCAATGGAATATGAGCACCCATCACGGTCAAGCATGGGAGTATTGGATACTAACACTTTTGTGCGACTTCTGGCTCGTTCGGCCTATCTGCGAAGCTGCGAACGTATTTCGCGAGACGCACTCCAGAGCGCAGTTTCGATGCGAGTATATCGCACTTGTTGAGGAAGAGGACTAGGTCGACCTTCTGGAGCAGCTTATTCGAGCACACCTCTTTCCAGAGCAATACGCTGTCCTCCTGCACTGGGCATGAGCAATATGACGCGTAAACCAAGCTGGAGACAACATACCAATCGGTTAGTACTTCGATCTTCCACGAGCGTTTGATCGAATCCAGATATTGGTGCGAGGAAGATGATAGCTGATCCAGTGACGCCTCAGAATAAGTTCCGTTGCAGATAGAGAGGGCTTACCGTTGACTGCAAGATTGGGTTTTTGTTAGCAATTAGTCAGGAAAAACAGGCTGGGAAAGAGTCGCACCATCGTCAAAGAAGGGAGCCCATGTCGCTACAGGCGGATATAATGTGAGGACTTGTAGTCTGTAACCATGGACGTAATATACTCACGTCGCTAGTTTACGATCTGTCAGCAAGTCATTTGACAGAAGAGGAACCGTCCTGACCTGTGACCGCGACCCACCCACGTCAATGATACGCCATTCCGTACCGGTTTCTGAGCCAGCCTCCATGTGGAAACTATACTCAGAAACACCCACGGTCTTTAGCCGCGCCCGGAGAACATCGTCTGATAATCATGAGCAACGACCGCGCCCCGGCAAGTGTCAGCAGGACATACCGTCGGAGGGGAAGTACGCCAAAGATGTGACGCGCTCCAAATCGTTGAGATAGCTGCATGTAGTTAGTCGGATGTCGAGACTGCAGTAGTGTGACTTACAAGCCTGGGCTTTCCTCGAGCCTGATCTTGCGGCGTCGCAGGATCTGCCGGACTACCGGATCCCCCCATAGCGCCGATATATCTGATCGACAGTGGTGTAGGATCGACTGCGACTCGTCTATGGTTTCCTGTCCCGTTGTGCCAGCAGATTGTGGTCGGCCGAAGGAGCGCAGCTTCCATGACGCCCCTGGCCGCACAAAGACCTCCTGGTGGTGGAATATCTGGGAATGTGGTGAATGGGCCCCATCATAACGTATGACATTGCCGTTGACGCTATTACTCCCTCCGACCCCAAGGGTGGTGGCTTCGTGCTCGTTAGGGGGGACCAGTTTGGCAATGAGAAGGGATTCCACATGTCGGAGGGGGTAGAGGCGGCGCCGTAGATCATCCAAGTGGTAGGGTAACGAAACGTGATGCTCAGACTCTGAGTCCGTGTCTGGTTCAGAGGTATAAATCGAGGATGGGTATACATCTCGCCGCCGAATGTCATCCAACGCGTCGAGTATTGTGTGGATGGAGTGTACAATATTCAGCTGAATGACGGCCCGCCACAGTATCCGTTCCTCGCGGAAAGCGTTGGGGGTGTACAGCCGCTGGAATTCTAGCAAACGCGTGAGCAAAGTTTCCAGCTGGTCGGAATAAACACGAGGGTGGAAAGGTTCGGCAGAGCAGCGCGAAATGGCTACAGGCGGAGGCTTATAGATTGCCGAGAGTATATGAGCGCGCCGAAACGAGCCACCGTGTTTCAGCCTTCCAAGACCATCGCGAGCGTGGCTTCACGGGCTTCACGGTTGGCCACTCGTGCAGGCCTGAATATTGCACCACCTTTGCCACGATCGTTCCCGACGACAGAGCAGCTCAGAGACTCACGGCGTAGTGTAGTAGATTTCCCTGGTACGAAGACTGAGTACAGAGTGTTTCCGGAGTGGCGCATGCATTGGACGAACCGGATTCACTCTGGCCCAGCAGCAGCAGTCTCACGATTTTGCGTTTCTTGCGCTGCTTCTCCTCGAGGCGGATAGCCTCGTCTATGGCTAGGCTGACGCGCTTTGCAGCCTCCTCGCCTGCTAGCCGGTGGGCCTTCTCCTCCTCGGTTTCGTCTATGGGCGGCCTGAGAGCGGCGGAAAGGGGGTCGCGGTCGGAGGGCTCTCTGGAGACGGGCATGATGGTCGTGAGCAAGGTGCGAGGGCTGCGAACGGGGAATCTAGAGAGGAGCAGGTGCGGAGAGCGAAAAGCTGACAGTCATGAACGCTCGGTGCAAGAATCCGGGACGGTAGGCGTCTATGCCTTATACCGCGCGCAGACGCCCGCTGCTCGCGCCTCCGGCTTGTCCGGAAATGCACATCCTCCCGCCCCTCCTCGCCGCAATCACGGCGCCGCAGCGTCTCGGACAACGTCTGCATCGCCTTTGCATCACCGTTGCGCACTCTCCTCCTTGTCCTATCGCGCTCGCTAGGCAACCACTCGGCCAGCAGCTGCCACCGTCCGCCCTGCACCGCCGGTCCGGCACTGTGTAGTATAGCGCATTGCTCCCAGCACGCACCTACACTGTGCGCCCGCTCTGTGCGTCCGCTGATCGCCCTGATTGCACCGCAGGCCTACATGTGTCCATGTGAGAACACCCAGAGGAGGTGTGTGGTTGCCTGCAGCTCCTTCTCCTCCTATCCCGATACTAAAGTCAATCCCCATGAGGTTCCTTGCAGCATCCGTGCCTGGCGAGCCAGGCACCGAAGCTTCTTCAGAACCTTGTCGGAGGCCATTCTATCTCCTTGTGGCGTGGCAGGGCGTTACCTGGACACGAGGCTGCCCAATGTTAGGTTGCCGCCGTGCAGACCCTGGCCCCAGGTACCCACCCCGCATGGCCACAGGCCTTCTTATGCTGCAGATCCGTAGCCGGTAGGTTCGCTCCCGCAAGAAAGGTGTAGAAACAGCGATTCCGGTAAGCTATAAGAGCGCCATCGCACAGGCGGCTCAACCTACGGCCCCAATTCCACGCACGACGCCGCTGGGCGCTACCACCAGCCGGTTGGAGAACGGAGACATGACACGGGACAGGGATCCTCAGGGCTCAGGCCTCAAGCTGAATGAGAACCGCCCATGCTCCATCACAAATTCTACAGTCGGGCCCGAGGCCCCGAGAAATCCAGCCCTTAAGATGTTCGAGGTACGCTCTCACTGATAACTCCGCCAGGCTGATGTGCAGGCAACTGTTTGTCGTACTCTATACCGGAGCCGAACAACATGGGCGGTCGTGAACGTTCCGTATTCTCGTGATCGCAGGTCTCTTCTAAAATCAAAAGCCCTGCCAAGGACTCGGAGCGTTCTTCAATATTATCGCAAACCCCGATCTCTGACACCTGCGAATTCAGAGACTGGGGAATACCGCTCCGAAACCCAACTTCACATTGTTATGTTCCTCGTTGCTGCTTATCTGCTCATTACGCGTGACACGTCGACTACAGAGCCACATAGCATCAATTCTCCAGGTCAACTGTTTAGCGTAACAGCGCTCAGATCTTGGCGATGGATCTGCGAACACGACACTGCTGTTGAGTCGGGCTTTCTGTCCCCACACCAGCCCAGGTCGTCAACGTTTCCTGCGTCTAAATACCGCCTGGCCGGTGGCTGCAAATGTGAGCACATGGTTCGTTCTTTGGCAGATCGGATATAATATAGAAGGTTGCAGTCACGGCTCCCGTCATTTCAATTCAGTGTGTTTATGCTCATCCCTGCGGCGCCTCACCCTTGTCGACGAGATTCTAGTCAAACAAAACAGTAAAGATGGGATCGTCAGCATCATCATCACAGCTCTACATGAGATATGCGCGTCTTCCCCACCGAGATTATGTATGTCAATAGATATCCGTCTAGGAAAGAGCATGTGCACCCCTTGCACAATGTGTATCCAGGCAGCGAATCGACTCCTCTTTGTTAAATTGTTGTTAAAGCACATTGTAGACTTGGCCAATGGCTGCAACGCCTAGGCTACCATACACCGACCCTTTATGAAAGTTGGTTCCATAACTGCATGTACCGCCATGACGAGCTCGTAGCTGGATGAATTTTTGTATAATAGTGAACATGATTTGATATCCAGAATGGCAACTCATACCCTCGGACTTTGACTAGGAGATACTATCCAGGTAACTCACTGAGTAGAACACATTATGTCGGAATTATAAGTACAGCTGTAGATGGGTCGACAATGCGACATATGTATATGATGTTAATATTACCTCGGCTCTAAGATATGGCTACCTGGCGCAATGGTAGCGCGTTTGGCTTCGATCGCCGACGGCTAGTAGCCCACCATGACAAATGGGGGCACCAAAAGGTTGCAGGTTCGAGTCCTGCGGTGGTCATACCTTTTGATCCTGCTTTATTGCCGCATGGTCCGAGCGTTGAGAGCGTTTAAACGAGCAGGAGAGCCGGAGGGAGCGGTCGATCCTCCTCAATCCGGAGTTGGAACGTAGGGGTGGTGGCAGTGCTGCGCGTGGGAACGTCGGAGTGTGAAGTAGTCCACCCTATCCCGTTTCCTTCTCTGGGCAAGGAGTAAGACATGCATGATATTTGGGAACACTTCAGCTGGGTTCTCTATACCCAAGAATTACTTGATATGCATGAGAAGCCATTTATTGGCAGAGAGAGTGCTCTACATAACCACAGGCGCCTACCGCGATTGTTTGAAACCCCGCCACCCTTCATCTGTTTGCGCCGAAGTACCACATAGCTTCTTCACAATCATGGTATGGCCATCCGACTATCTGTTTGGAAAGGTTTTGTTACGTTGGAAAGCACGAGGAGTGTTGCTGATATCTGCAAGGCAATCCAGGGCGAAATAATAATAGACTCCGATCAAGGGCCCTTAAGCATGAGGTATCCGTGCGACTGTACCAGTGCCAGTACGGCCGCCCCGACGGGCATCGTGTAGGTGATTATGTGCGGCAGTACACTATGTATACGAGGCACAGGCACGGCAGTCGTACCTGGAGAGCTTTACGCGAACTGAAGGCACCGGAACTTGGAAGGCACGCAGCCAGCGCTGCCTCGTGCACGCTCTTCACCGCTCACACCCATCCGCAGATCCGGACATCCCGGTGTGCGTGTGTACACCAGGTGTTATGCTCTCGTATATCGGGGTGGGACGAATACACGTAGACGCTGCATGCGGTGGGTGCGTTTTGTCCTCGCTCCCTGCCAGAGACCGAGGGTAATGGATGGATGCAGGGTTGTTGACGAACGCCGCGAACGGAGGTACGACCCAGGAGGAGCAGGGGAGCACAGATGAACAAGCTCAACGTCAGGAGCCACCCTAGAGGCTGAACATTACGGTCAATAAGTCTGTGAGCATTAACATCAGCCCACCTCGAGACTACTCATGATCGTAAATAATTGTACGGCGGGTGGGACACACCGGTGGGAGGATGTTCACTCCCAAGCCCCTGCACGAGGGCGTTTGATGACTTGTGCTTGGACTATTATTGAACGGCGGATATCGTAAGTAACCTGCGAGCTGCCTTGGATCCTTTACGTATGTATCAGGACGCCGACAAGCACAACTTACCATGACACCCGCGTTGGCATCCTTGGAACCCTATGGCTTCGATTCATACCAAGACGCCGATTCGGGATATCGATGGCCCAACGTCAACGCCCATTTACCTCACCGCAGACGCTGGTATCATTATCGTGGATTTGAGGGCACTGGCGGACGGGCAATTGCGGAGCAGCAGGAATACAGTGATTTTGTGGACTTCTATCAGCGACAACCCCTAGATCTAGAATACATATCGACGGCGGCTTCGAACACGGCGGTCCCGCACGGGCTCAGAACAGCCAGGGCCCCACTAAAAGCACAGACCGACGGTCAGCCCCGAAACAATTGGCACACGGGACCGCACTCACCCCTGCCTCTCTCGCCCTCAGGTTTTACCTGCAGACAACTCTGATGGATGAGGTTGAGCGCCTTGACCGCGTCTCGTCCGTCAATGACACACGAGATATTGATCTCGTTCGCGCCCTGGCTGATCATCTCGATATTGACGTTGCCTTGCCCGAGCGTGGTGAACATGCGCCCCGAGATACCGATCATGTTGCGCATCGACTTCCCGACCAGCGAGAGGATGGCCATGTCCCGGATGACGGTGACCTGTGAGGTACTCAGTACACGGCAGAGGTTTACGTAGGGCTGTAACGTACGGTCCCGCTCTTCCTCAGCTCGCGCACTACGCGCTCGAGGACCTTTTTGTCGAGGTTCTCCTCGATGGCCATACTGACGTAGACTTCACTGGTGCTGATGAGGTCTACGACAACGCCAAACCTGTCCAGCGTCCCGAAGATCGTAGCGAGGAAGCCATGAGACACGTTCTTCCGATTTGAGTTGATGTTCAGCACGATGATGTGCTCCTTGATCGTAGCCGCAGTAGCCTGCCGGACACCGCTGTGCTTGTCCGAGTGTGGCGAGGAAAAGGGCACGAACGCTTTTGATGTGAGGATGACTGGAGGGTATTCTGCATCCGCGCTTGAGGGCACGGCATCGGTATCGTGATCAGGATGAATGACGGTTCCACCGCCCGAAGGGTTCTCGACATTTTTGATGCGGATAGGTATTTTACGACGGATAACCTGTAGCAGCTTTGAGACCGGGCCCGCACAGGCTGCGGGTTACATGGACGTACCTGATCCATCGTAAATGGATGCACGACTTCGCTCCCGTAGTAGGTGAGCTCTGCGGCCTCTTCTGGCGAGATCATTGGAATCAACCTTGCGGTGGGCACCTTTCGGGGGTCCGCTGTGAAGATTCCGTCTACCTCTTTCCATATCTGCAGCTCCGACGCGCCCAGACCGGCCGCTAGCAATGCGGCAAGGAGGTCTGTGTAGCCACGTCCAACCTGCCGGAGAAGAGAACCGGGTATGGGGCCGAAGAACCCTGCCATCGCAGTGAACACCCGGCTTCAAGTGAAGCACTAAACAACTTACCAGTAACCACGGGGACGCGGTTCCCGCACTGCCTGATGCGCTCGGCCACCACGTCGGCGACTCGGTCGTAGAAGTCTTGACCCAGGGTCTCCGAGTCGGAGAAGTTTTCGCCTTCCGAGAGTGGAACAATGTTCTCTAAGCTCACAAACTCTGCATCTATGTTCTTTTCCATCGGGGTTCAGTATACCGCACACATATACATAGAAGGCGGCATACCCGATCTCGTAGAACAGCCGCTACCAACTTGCAGCCTAACCGCTCACCGAACCCGATGATACTGTCCCTTGATCTCGGGGAAATCTCGTCGATGACCTGTTTGTACGCCACAAGTCACAATGAAGCCCGAGGGGACACCCTGTCGTGGACGTACCTGTGTAGCGAAAAGGAACGACCGGATAGTTTCGCAGTCGTGGTCAATCTCCCCCTCCAGCTCCGCCAAAATCTCGGGGTTCCGGACGGATGTCCTGGCTGCAGCGATATGTTCCGAGCGAATCAGATCTACCGTGACACTGAACGCAGGCGTGGCAGAATTTATGGGGGACAGGGCTAATGCGCTTCCGGCCGGCGGTGATGACTTCCCCGGGCTGGTGAAGGGTGACTGATAGTTGGTGAGGCGGGAGGAGAAACCATTGGGAGACATGATCCCCGGCGTTTCTGATGCATTGCTATTGCGTTGTAGCGCCTCCGAGGCTGCCTTGAGAAGCAGGTTTGTAGTCCCGAGTGCTTTCGTCGAGCCTGAGCGGGCGGAGCAGACAATGGCGACCTTGTGTTGATCTAGATACTCACTACGATGTCGAGCCTAGAAACGTTAGCTTGAGAAGACCTCTGCTTAGAACATGCACACGAACGGTATGATTTCCTGCGCAATCTTGGCAGCAAACTTCCCCACGCTAGTCCCACCATACTTTTGGACCAGCCACTTTGCTGCTGGATCGATAGTGTTTTGATGCATATTCGGGGGCGTAGACAGAACAGCAGACGACGATAGAGATGAAGATCGTGAAGACGGCGCAGACAATGACGCGGGGGTGGATGCGCGAGACATTGCGAAAATGTCGAGAGGCTGACGACGGCGGTCGAGTACAAGACCAGCTCGACCCAGGTAGTACTTATACCCTTCAAGCGCAATGACTCGACTCAGAGGTTGAACTGAGTCGTCCGCCTTCCTCCTCTGCGCTCATTAAGTAATCTCACGTACCGCTAACGTCCCTCCGTTGCGCTCCGTCCGATATAATTCCAGAGCTTACTTCTGCCTGCGAAGGTCCTCCGAGCGGAGGAAGCGTTTCTGGCCGAGAACTTCCGACTTCCTGGGTTCGGACAATTTGCACGATCTCATGACAAGCAGACACTTGCCGAAGCCATAGACGCTCGTCATTCTAGAGGTAATAACGACGAGAGAAGTTCAGGTGTTCAAAGATACGTCCCGACATCTCGCATGACCCCGACGTGGAGAGGAGAGGTAAGGAGAGTCGGAGTTGACTGTCAAATTCAACGCCTGCGCTAAGTACTTTGTAACGGTATCAATATGAAGTTCATTAAAGTTACTACTGCATCTAAGAAGGGCTGTGTAACAGTACGCGCCGGAGTAATCGTCGCGTACACGTCTGTTACCCACTGCGCTCATCCTAAGTCCGTCTTCCACATCGTCCGTCCACCACCCTCGCCAACATGGCGGACGCGTCATTTAAGGACGTACCAGAGCTCTTCGAGGTGAGCATATACCCCGCCCAGAAACCCAGATTCTCACAGTGCTCCGTAGAATGAGCTCACCGAGTCCCTGACCGCGCGCACGGAAAGTCTATGTCCGTGTCCCCCGTCCTCGGCGTATCTCCACGCGAACTGACTTTCCGTGCTGACAGCGACCTTCAGAGAACTCGGGCCGCCCGACCTCGTGCATGTCTTGAAGAGCACCGGGCGTAGCGGACAGCGCGACGTGAGTGCGCTCCTAGGATTCATACCCGCCACCGCTAAACATTCGCCTCAGCTGGGCTCATACCACTTCGTATCCGGTGTCGACGCGTCATCATCTGCCTCGTTAGCTGCTTACATCAACTCTCTCACCTATAATATCGAAGACGACTCGGGGTGGTTCTCGAAGGGCACGTCCTGGAAAGTGAAGAGTGGCTGTTATTGGTGAGTATCATAACACTCGGCTAGCTGCAACGGAGACCCATTCCGGCGTATCCAGTTGCTTCAATGCTTTCTCTCGTGTGGATGTCCGTGTGGATGTCAAGATTCCTGGAGGAGTGCAAGCATATGTTGTTGACTTGCGGGGTGAGAGGTATGTTTGCGGAATCTTTGTGAATTCGTCCAGTGTCTGAACATGTACCAGACACGAAGCAACCCCGGAACTCTGGCAAGAGACTTTCCTCTCCGCTCTCTT